AAGGATAATTTATGCATACCCGTTATAATCCATTTACGTAGATAATTGAATGGATAGAAAATATGGGAATGTAAACAGTCATGTAGATATGATACTTACATTCTGCAAAATTGAGCTGACTCTTTTAAATAAATGTTACGGTATTTACAGACAAGTGAATTTAATTCTGGCGTTAATTGGCTTTCTTAGATGTGTAATTTAATCGTCACTTCATGTAAACATTGGTATATAGATTATTCAACGTTCAATAAATTTGACCAAAAAACTATCAGTTGACAGAGAAGCATAATTCTTGAATAGATATTCTTTTATTCACTATGAAAGTTTCCGGGAATTTATTGACTTCAATTTGGTATTTATTCATCGTGGACTGAAATCACTTGGAGAAATATTGGAAACCTAGGCGTACTGGACAACTGTTTCATCCCAGTACTGGATTCCTCAGCAGTACACACCCATGACCCCACCAGTGATGGAATCCAGGACCTTTGGGTTTTATGGAGATCAAGTTGCGTGCTGGGTTGTAGTCCCTTACACAGTCATGAGTGCGCACTCTTGATGAACTCCGTACTAAGACAAAATAGCCCTGCAGGGCTCTTAGGTTCCCAACGACTTGTCAGTTCATGATGAATAGCAGCTTCAGATATTCTTTTTCATAATGAACTAATTATTAACTTAGCAACTCATTTCCTGACCCATTTTGTGTCACCTCTTGATTCCTAGATTGATAGACATCTACTCATTTTCAAACACTTATCACTTCTTTGTTTTAATTATTACCAGTCAATTCTATTGAACTTGTAAAATTCCGTTTTGAATCCAGCTATACATTCACCGTAAACTGATTGTTTTTTTTCAAAATAGATCTCTGTTCATGTTTGTCTTCATTCATAACCGAAGTTAACTAAAAATTCGACTTCATGCGATAAAAAAAATACATTTTTGCTTTTATGAAATATTTTTTATACCAAATTAATTTGTTTAAGTTCTATAGTCAGCCATCCAATGGCGAGTCTGTAGTATTCGTAAAAATGTAAACATTCAATACACATGACCACATGGTCCATATAGTGTAGGTGGGTACATTACGAACCTTATGACTTGCATATTTCTGTTACATCACGAGGTATGTTTAGTCATTTTACAATCGTGATTCTCTATGCCTAGATGTAAGCAAATTCACCTGTCATTCATATAAAAAATGTGGAAATCATCAGAATATATGAATTAGTACTGACTGTAGAGTAATCAATGAGAATAGATGTCTACATTTACGTTATACTATGGATCAAAATTGTGATGACGGGTGTTTAAAGGCATTCAAGCAACGCGCCAGGGTCATTTGTGCAACGTTTAACATTTTGTCAAATTGCGCTACTGTTGCATGAAATACAACTGGTTCCCAGACGGGATTATGAAAGAAAGACTTATGTAGCCGATCATATTGCTTAAAACATTGTAATTACAAAAATCGCCAGGTAGCTGCCTTAGTTTTTGAGCTTTACAATGACAATCTTCAATAGTTGACACTATCTACAAACTCCTGCCAAAAACGATACCATTACTGTCTTACTCATTACTTTACCTTTCATAGCTGTTGAGCATTAAGTCTCATACTCCATCTATTGCATGGAAATATGAAAACTGGTAATGGCAATTGTAGGAAAGAGAGAGGCAAGCAAGTATTTTATAGCATGCTCCCTTTACTGATGACGCTACTTTAGTGCTGTTCAGTTTCGCTGACTGTTGTACCGTTGAAAAAAACTCCTTTTGACCAGCTGACCAATAAAACCTAGAAATATTATGAACAACCAAGTTATAGACCATAATCGTCTTGTCCCACTTACTTCGCATATTAGATTCAATTGAGGTTACAAACTAGGTGCCTAGATTTTACTATGATATATTAACCCTCATTATTTAAATGAGAACTATCGTCGTACCAAGAAAACTACCGCTCTGTATGAATGGTTGTAAACTATTTATGCTGAGCGGCAGAGAAAGAGCTAGCCAGGTCAAGGCTATATGAATATTGGACCCAGCTCATCAGCGGTTCATCCATACAGATTAATTTCAGAACCTGAATCATGTGTAGAATGGGGTGTAGAACACCCGAATTCCGGTTGGCTACCTAAGTGGACAAATGAGCCTAACATTAATTAGGATGTTGATGTCACTTACGTTGTCCAATCGATCACATAATACAGTCTGAATACTTCACTTTTTAAAAGGGACCTGAGGGATATTGCATATCTGAGTTTTATTTCATTGTGTATCTTATAAACACGTAACATGAGTCAGGGAGTATATCACCAAAGAAAACATAACTTTAGCAGTTTAGCAGAAAGAAATGCACGTGATGCTATTCCCTGTATTCTCCTGTCGTTGAGTGGACCAAATCGATCGATCTGTACCGGGACATGGGCTCTTATGCAGATGCTTCGACACTGCCTGTGTTTTACGTATATGTTTCGGTTGGACAGTGGAATCCAGGAAGCATGCTTCGTCCCATTTGGGACCCGTCAGCTGGAGGAACAAGTTTTCCAGTGAGTGTTGTTCCCACTGAGGTTCGAACTCGCGACCGGTCGCTTCAAACGCCAGGATGTTTTCCGGCTAGACCACCGAGCTATGATAGTCACTTATTCTGTGATTGGTATGGTTGTATTGTTGTTGCTTGTATTATGCCTTTGTTGAGTGGATCAAGTGGACTATGCATCATGAACATATAACTGAAGTACAGGCAATATCGAAGCATCCGTGCAAGAGTCCATATGCCAATACAGACTGATCAATTCGGTCAATTCAATGACCGGATAATGCAAGCTATGAAATCAAAATTATACACATCACACAACAACATGTCACTGGTCAGTGGTCTAGTGGATATCGCCTAGGCTTTTGAAGCGATCGGTCCCGAGTTCGAGCTTCAGTGGGGACAACATCACTCACTGGGAGGCCTGTTCATCCATTCGACGAGTCCCAAATAGGACGAAACATGTGTCCTGGATTCCACTGCCGGCCATTACCCATCATATACAGATGTTCACATAACTGAGAATCAAAATAGGATGTTTGAAAATAACTAGAGTTTACGAAAATGATAATATCATTCCGTATGGTGACCTCATATCTATCAAGCATATCAGCTTGGTGAAATAAATTGAAATACCTTCTAAGTTCCATGCAACTTCATGAGTAAAACTTGAAGTAAAAGTTTATAAAGCTTAAATTTTTCAAGCTCAGTACATCTCCCTTATTTAAATCTGGATAATAGGCTGTATAACAGAAGTCACAGAAATAAAGCTGACTTCATTCAAAGCTAAACTGCAACTGCAAACTTACATGGACAAGGACCTGAACAGTTCCGGATTACAAGTTGGACTGACATTAGTTGGAGAACCATTGAAAACCTAGGAGCATTGGGCAGCTGTTTCATCCTTGGATGGGACTCCTTCGCAATGTGCTCTCATGACCCTAACAGTGATTGAATTCTAGGACCTTCAGCACGCCATAGATGGTGTTGATAAACTCCTCACAACCTTCCAACCTGAATTACTGTCTAGTGATCATTAGTGACTTGCTTCAACATGAGTTTTTTTGAACTTCTAATTCGAAGTCTTGACCGGTGGGGAAAGCTAAGTTGGACGAGAGGATAGGTACTCACAGACGACATTAGATGGTCACGCTGTCTCGTGAACAGACAGAAGTAGGAGACTGAGTATCACTGAGTTTTGACCCAATAGCTGAATAGTTGACGCATTTGATGTGAAACTTGAAGGTACCTAATTTCGTCCCTTTCAGGGTCGTAAGTGCATACTGTTGAACAGTCCCATACTAAGATGAGATAACTGTCCAATGTCCCCAGATTTCCGCTGGTTCTCCAACTGATATCATTCCATGTTGAATATTGACTTGAAATCAGTAAAATCCCCACAAACCTCGAAATTAAATTTCCTGCTACTCAGTTATTTTAAGTTTACATCATTTCCTATAGGTTTCTTACAGAAATGTTCTTCATATGAAAGCCTCGAAAACTTTGTCATTCTGAATGCATGCGACCATAGAACACATACACATTTGTCAGGAAAGTAATTAGGTCAGAAGACAGTCCTGTCAACTTAGTGAATTTGATTCCCGATGATAGAACACATGATTTCGCTTACCCTAGTCTTCCTCCGAGTTCCCACAGATATGAGATGTTTGGATTGCTTGCTCTCTTTCGGCAAATTAGCTCCTACGTAGATGTCTCGACACTGCTAAATGTTCACGGTGCTGTATTTGTCTTGGTAACTAATAGTGGGATGCAAAACACGGGTTTTGTCCTATTTTGGATTCGTAAGCTGGGTATAACCACATGCCAGTGAGTGAAGTTGTTTACACTGAGACCTGAAGCCAGTTTAAACAGCTTCAAACGCTAGAGCGTTATCCACTGGGTTACTGAAGCACTGCAAAACAGCAAGGAATTACAAGTATCAAAAACAGCAAATGATACCCGTTGCGTTCTGACGTTTGAAGCGATGGGTACTTACTTCAGGTCTCAGTGTCAACATCATCGAGCTGACGAGCCCCATGTCTGACGAAACGTGCATATGGACTGCATTGCGGGTCACTAAGTTGTTTAAGTCTACTGCAAACTAATTGACTATATAAAAGTCAAGATTTGATTACTCATTACACCAACTTGCAGTAATTAGTCTATCACTTCCCTAAAAGATAATACTAATGGAAACAATTCAGTAGTGAGCAGATGGCTGTCACTAATTTGTTCTCAAAAACGACCGACATATCTATTTACATTTGTGTGAGTTTATGTTATAAGTGAATCTTATTGGTACCATGCTTTATAATGCAGACAATCGTGTGTGCTAGTGTGAGTGTGTGTATTTTTCTGTGTACAGATGAGAACTAGTAACATACAAGCAATGCATTGCTTTATGCACATCCATGCACACATACATGCCACATACATACATATATATTTGCGTATTTACCAAAAATACGTACATAATCTGACCAGCTCATCTAATAATGAATCTCTTTGCATACTACAGAAAAACTTCTTTTTCACTAATGAAACGCTTGACGATTCAATATATTCAATAAATCCTGACAAAGTATTCTTAGTGCTGATCACTTTCAAAATGAACAGAGATGTTGGTTTTACAATGACTATTTAAGCAGAACAACAAAACAACGTTTCGTCGAACATTGGGATATCCGTCCCAAGTATTAATTTTTTTTGATTGATTACAAAGAATGACGTACATATGTACAATGTGGATGTTAACTCATTAAAGGGTAAACACAGTGACTACAACCAGTTGAGTTCTTTGAATATGCATAAAAATATTTTCCCGGAAATTAGACATTCATCATGCTAAAAGGATGATGTAATAACTTTTTTATGACGAAAACTGAATACTGCTAACAATCGAATTTAGTAGTATATGTAAAATAACAAAATTTTCATTGATGAATTCATATATTGTATCTTACTCAGTTTGAATCAAATCTGCATTTAACTAATAATCAGATTGACGGTACCAGGACAATCATATATGTATATCATTAAATTTGTTTTAGTCTCATCTGTATTGAAAGTTTGAAAAAAAAACAATGTTTCTATCAAATTGGATAATATTATTCACTCACTTATTTCTAGTAAATGAGTTACAGTACACTGGTAAGTACATTTAACATTACTTTTCTTCCATTGACCTACATTAGTGTAAAAAATATATTGAAAAGGAAATTTTTTAACGAAGTTTTTCTTATAAGTGAAATGAAGATGCAGATTGCTGATTTGTACAACTTAACATAGTCTTTGAAGACAAAATTAGACATATGTAACTTAAAATGAAGAATTTTCCTTTTATACTCTGAAAATTCGGGTATAAGACCAGAATACATAGTCAGTAGTTTACTACTAGAGGTTTCAAAAACATATGGCCATTTCTGTACCGAAGATACTGCTAAGACTGACTAGGTAAATCTACGTAAAACTTTCCACACAAGTTTACCCGCTCAAATTGATACATTTCACAGTAGTACACAAACAGCAGGTGCACAGAACAGGAGAGATAACAGATTAGATAGTGTCAGAGGATAAGTAATCTGAAGAGAAGGTTGGTATGAATACTCAAGCTTTAGAAGATATCAATAAGTGAATATATCTGCACCACTGTGACTGATTTTCAACTGTCTCACAAACAATCCTCAACCACATTAATTCCTTTCATCTCTAAGAACACAACCAGGCAGTCTACATCTCCCACACAATTAATATCAACAGTAGGAACTTCATCGACTGCTTCCAGGTCTTAATCTACCCACCCTGAACATTTTTACACCCTGATCCAACTTCCCTGACCTGACCTCAGTATCGTTCACACGATGATTCCACCACATACCAACAATGCTACGGAGACATTTGTGATCAAAACTCAGTAATCGCTTCGTTTTTGCTTTTAACAGTAATGTCTCACAGGCCTGTAGCAGAACAGGACGAACTGTAGCACAGTAAATTTGTCCTTTGATAGATAATCAGATATCTTACCAGTTGGAGCCATAGATGATGCAAGTTAGCAAATCCCAAACCAGCCTTCTGCATCCGAGATGAAATTTCGTCAGTAACCAGCTCGTTCAAGCCGATGCAACTCCCCAAGCAAGTGAAGTGGTTGATACATTCAACCATTTTAATCCCTAACATCAGACTGGGAGGACTTACAGAAGACCAGTCCTGAAGCATCATATTACATTTGTCAAGTGCAAAACGCATGTCAGCATATTCAGATTTCTGCTCAATGCGTTCAGAAGACCCTTCATTGCATCTTCTTTATCTAGTAGGACAATATCCTTTTCAAACTTCATGTCAACTAGATAATTTCTTGGGAGTAGATCAATTACTGTGAAGTCAGACTTACCTCAGCCCTGACACGGCTGCCTCAGTTCGAGTAGAGGGCTTTGATGAGCGTCATATGTTTACCTGGTACTCCTTTCACAACCGGAAGCCGCCACAACACATCACAGTCGACCGAGTCAAATGACGCCTTCAAGTTAAGAGATATTGCAAGTGTCGGCTTCCAGTGAATATACCGTTGTTCCAGAACCTCTCGAAGGGTGAGCATCTGATAGATGTAACCTCGACCAGGTCTGAAACTTGCCAAGTTTTCATGAGTCTGCTCTTTTCCACCTTTAGTTATACGTCGGATAACTATGGACCCTAGGCACTTGGACACAATATTAGATAAGCTAATTCCACTATCGTTGTCAAGGAAAGACCTCTGTCCCTTGTTATAGATTGGGATAATCAGAAAAGTTGACCAGTCTGACGGCACTACTTCTGATTCTCACGCTACCCAGTACCTCCGTCACCTTAATAACTAGTTTCCTACCTCTATTCTTGTAGACTTCAGATGGCCAACCATCACGTCCTGCTACCCTGTATCGTTTCGGGTTCGATATAAACTTTCCAATTTCAAGGGGGTTTTATTATTATTATTATTTTGTTTGTCCCTAGTGTTCCTAATAGAAGATGGAGCTTCAGTAGCAAGCCTCCATTCCACTCTCTCTCTTCAGTCTTTTCAACCTCACTCCACGACTCCACACAACCTCACATCTATTCCTCACATCATCTCCTCCATGTCACCCTCAGCTAGGATGCCCAACTCGTCGTTTCCCCTTCCGATTACACTCGAGGGTCTGGTCTGGCATGGCCTGATGCCTGATATCCTCAGTCGGCCTTCTCACTGTATACCTAATCCAATCCAATCCAGTCTACACTTTCTTCTTCTGCACATTTGTTGGGTGATAGGTTCCTGCTTCGATAGTTCGTTAGTTCGTTGTCAGGCCAGAGTTCCTCATTGCTTATTCTCATTATTATGGCCATCTGATCGGATCTGATCTGATCTGATCGCATCGCATCGGATAGGATCGGATCTTCACTATCGAGTGAGTGTAGGTGGCAGCTGTTGATGATGTATATCTCTGGTTTGTTTGAAATGATTTTGGTAGCGCACCAAGTTTGTGAAGCATCATATAGCAGCACTGACTTGACGGAATTGTGTTTGAAATCCGGATGTTGTTCACGCTTTATGCTGAGTGTAGTGGATCTCCACACTGATTTCAGATTAATGAAGGGTGGCTTGTCTTGCTGTTTTCCCGATGTTTGTTTTGACATCCTTATGTGTGCCTGTGTCACCTGTAGTTGAAACGATGCTGCCTTGCGTGGGTAGGTGAAAGAGAATACTTCTTTTAGGTTTCTCCTGTTCATGGTGATTGGTGCTTGTTGTTGATGCAGTTGTTGACTGGGTATCTTGATCACCTCTGTCTTCTCTACGTTCTCCTGAAGTGGTATTCTTGCTGCCTCTTCTGTCAATTTGTTAGTTCTGGCATGTAGATCTTCTAGTTTGTGCGACAAGACATTAGACATAAATCATCATTGGCAGAGAAATCCAAATCTTCTTCTGGAGTCTTTCCATCGGTCCAGCCAGCTTATGCCCATCTTCTCGTTCCTCACGGTTTGCTGCATGATCCAGTCGAGTCCAGTCGAGTCGACCACAATTTGGAAGACTATCTATGATAGTAGGTGGCAGCCTTGTCTTACTCCTGTCTTAACTTCAAAGGGGTCAATGAGTTATCCATTGTGAACCACTCGGCATGTGGCGTCGTCATATGGCTGTTGAGTGAGGTTGTCAAAGGTTTATGATACTCTGTAGTGTTTAATTTGTTGCCAAATTACTTCTGGGTCAACGCTGTCGAAGGTTTTTTCAAAATCAATGAAGTTGAGGTAGAGAGTTCACTGCTATTCTATACTCTTTTCTAAAGTGATGTAGAGTTTTTCGTTCCAATTTGATCCACAGATGATTTGTTTTACCTGAAGTCGTCCAACCAGCCTGTTTCGGCGGTAATTTTTTAATGCAGCGCATCTTTTAGTGTCTCCAGGGTGATGCGGCTTAATATTTTGCTTGGTGTGGAAAAGAGCATGATTCTTCGCCAGCTCTTGAAAAGACTTAGATCACCCTTCTTTGGGAATTTGACGAGGTATCCCTTCTGCCACTAAGCAGGTACCTTACCTTCCCTCCTTCCAAACCTTTTGCAATAGTGGCGTGAGGGTGTTCGCTGTTTTCTCTGCGTCTGTTTTCAGTTCTTCTGGTGGAATTCCATCTGGACCTGCTGCTCTCTTGGATTTCAGCAACTTAATGACATTCAGAACTTCACCTCTCTGCTTTTGTCGGAGTGTTCTTGTTGACTGATAGTTCTGTGGCTGGGCTTCTAACCGTCTTTTTGGACGAGTTGCAGGTGGTGGTGGTCGATCCGGGAGCTTTTTTGAAGTGATCACCCTGCTGTTTCTTTTGTTTCTTCTCTTTGGTAACTAGGTTTCCTTCACTCTCTCTCACTGGTTTCATCTGAGTTGATCTCTACTATCCAAAATAGTAACCTGCTTATTTGATATAGTGTTGGCAGGTCTCTCGCCCTCCTACCTCAGGCCTGTTCTGCTTCACTCGCCAATGTGTCGTAGAAGTGTCTTTTGTCTCTCCACACACTCCCCTTCACCACTTTGTCCAGTGTAGTGTTTCATAGGTTGTGTTCACTTCCTCTTTTCCTTGTTCATCCTTGCACTGCACTGCACCGCAATGGTTTATCTTCTGCTTCACCATCTCCCTCTTCCTACTCTATCATCTTCCATGTGTCCGTCGACATCCATTCTTCGTCTTGCCTCTTCCTCTTCCTCTTCCTTCCTAACATGGTTGTGCAGGTTTCTTTCAACATCTCTTTCAAAGAGTTCCAGTGTTCTTCCACTCAGGTTTCTTCATGGATGTTGCCTAATGTCTCCAATTTTTTCCTGATGACTGACTGACTGACGTGAAGATATCCTTTGTAGTTTTGTCCTTCAGTTTTTGGGTGTTGAACCTGAAGTGTGGCCTATCAGCATTTTCTGTGAAGGTTTTCAACTTGATTTTGAAGGCAGGTTCCTTGCACTAGGTAGTGACTGGTGTGGACCTACATCTGCTCCCCTTCTTCATCTGATCTTCTGTTCAGCAGGCTGCCACTCCACCTCCACTTTCTCCACATTGAGATGAAGTCGATCTGATTTTTGTGTGTTTGGTGTCTGGTGAAACTATATCCATGTCACTTTGTCAATACCCTTGTGCCTGTACACACTGCCTCCAATCACCAAGTCAATAAATGCGCAGATACCTGCAAACAGTTCTCCATTCTCGTTCATTTCACCGAGTGCTTCTCCACGTATGATTGGTTCCACTCCTGTGTTGTCCGCTCCCAGTTTGGCATTCGCGTCGTCCATTAGAATCTTGATATCGCCAACTGAAGTGGGGTCTTGTCCTACACTGATTGCATTTGTCTGTAGAATTCCTCCTTCTTCTCTTCATCTGGATTATTCGTAGGTGCATAGTGTAGTGTAGCGTAGCATTGTATGATTGTGACTTTCCTCCCCTTTGATTTGAATCTTGCTGTCATGAACCTGTAGGAGGAGATTGGCTCCCACTGCATGAAAGCCTTCGATGCTCTTGAGGACATCATGACAACCACTCCAAAACCTGTGGTTGTCGTCTGAGTGACAATATCGGAGTAGATTATTGACTCTCCACTTGACAGTTTGGAGAGTCCACTTCCATTGCATCTGCTTTCGCAGATTCTAAAGCACATCCATGCCGTACTTCC